GTATTTGCTCGAATGAGAATTGACAGCGGAAACCGAGGCAAAACTTCCCCAGTGTCACTTTGTCCACCGCAAATCCCACATTACCTGACCTGGGATCGAACGCCAGCCGCCGCTGTGGGAAGCCGGAGAATAACTACCTGAGTTATCTGCCGGTGTGAACTTAGATTGTGGTATTCTGTAATTTTACCAAAGTTCCGAAGACACATCCACCCCCTGAAGATGGCAGCAATATGATTCTCTGGATCGCCGTAACAACGTAAAGAGACTGCATTGTCACATTCTAAATATTAATTAGGTGTTTGACTAATTCACGCGGTAGCGTAGTTGGTTCAGGCACTATGCTACAAGCTGGAAGGTCGCGGGTTCGACTCCCGTTGAGGTGGATTTTTTTCAATTTATATAATCCTTCCAGCCGCACTATGGTCCTGGAGTCGACTCAGCCTCCAACAGAAATGAGTGCCAGGAATTTTCCGGGGGTGGGGGGTGGGGTAAAGTAACAACTTTACCGCCATCTGTGAGCCGATCATACAGAGAAAATGTGGGAGTCTCGACATCTTACAACAGCCGTGTCAAACATGCGGCCCCCATAGCCACAAAGTGCGGCCCCTCAACTTTTAGAGCTAATTGATATGAAAATCAATATTAAAATTTTAGTAGAAATATTTTTTGTAAAGACAATTTTCCAGCAGACCAGAAGACAAGAAGTCTCACGCAGACATAAATCAGCAGGCTGCAGGAAATTCAGTGTTTTGCTATTTCTAACATAACGTCTTGTGTAATCTCTCTTTTACATATTGAAAAGGTGTTTGATACTTGTCAAAAATGGCATTCTCTTGCTTTTTAAAACTGTAAGATATGTGACTTTAGGTAATTATATTGAAATTATTCCTAAATAATAAATAGAATTAAATTTCCTTGTATCCAAATCTAATGTACGTATATTTCTATTTTGAAGTGCGGCCCTGGACTATTATTTATAGGGCTGAGGTGGCCCTCTGTACAAGCTGAGTTTGACATGCCTGTCTTACAACTTTATGGGTCTTCACGGCCTGTTAAAGGGATATCATTACCTTTTACCTTATTTGACTAATTGGTTCTTCTTTCGTTACTTCTGTTAGATATTTAGTTACGTAGTTGGTTGTTCAATTTATCTGGTTGACCAGTCAGTCAATAAAGTGTTTGGATCAGAATTCCTAGATTATTAGTATTATGCAGATAGCCCCAAACTCTTGTGGAAATATGTACCATTATTGCCAGGTCTTCATTTCGACTCCAGACTTCCAAAAGTGCAGTCACAAGCCTCTAGTGTTCAGTGTATACACCAGTGTGTCTTGCGAAAAACGTTTTTCAGAGCTGCGAACGCACCTGAGGAACACGTGACTGTCGGACAACCCTTTCTCAAGTTAACAGCGTCCAGTGCTGATAGGAAGGATCATAAAATCGAGACCGAACTGTGAGCACTGGTACTCCCCCGTTCTCCAGACTGTGCGTAGGAACTCAGTACAGAGCTCTGTGTACAACAGACAACTTGTATCGCTCTGAATCACTGATGGCACGTCCTGTAGCGCGGTACACTTGTACGGAGTCAGAACGTGCATGCGAGCACGTAAGCCGTGTTACTTATTACTGTGATTCAGCTAATAATTTTCTGCTAGTGGTTCGAGGGTCATGCCTCCTTTTTACATTCGCGTAACACTCATGCCGCGTGTGCCAACGTGCATTTCGTCACTGATCTGCCACGTGTTGACCTACTGTTCTCTAACTTCTATACTATATCTCGTTTGTCTTTTATTTTATGTATTTTTGTATATTCCATCAGTAATTATGTTTTTCATTCGGATATGATTATTCATTATTCTAACTAGAGAAATTATAGGCTTAAAACAGCATCGACAGAAAAGTAAAAATGGCTAACAATGTTAAGTAGATACGGTAAATGTTTGTATCCAACAAGGATGATTGTAGCATTTTGGATATTACATAAAACGGACTTCATAATCGATACGTTAACTTGGTGATCCTGACACAGCAAACCACTGGAGGCTACGATGAAGTCGGCGTGTGTCGAAAATGGAAGAAACAAGGAATGTATACATACTTTTCGTTGGGAACGTCCAATTGAAAAAGATGGCTCTGATGGGTAGTAGCGTATTCTCTAGAAATCACGGCATTTTCCCGAAGACTGTGAATAAAGCCGCGCAATATCTTTGAGCCTAGATTCGAGTCTCTTCTTCATAACCACTTTGCACGGACCGAGTAGGAAACAGTTTCCAACAGTCGCTCTATTGCTGTAGAGGCATGTTTACCGGGTTGCATAACACCGTTGTTTATTCGCCTATCGCACAGCAACGACTGTACATACTATATTATGTACTGTCACGTGTAGGAGTGACTATAGACGGGGTTCGGATTGGTGACTCGATTTATTGGCCATTTTAACACACAATTCGTACTTCCACTTAATTATAATGCCATCGCTAATTTCCACACACTTAATAAATCACTGGCGCACACGCTAAGTCTTTTCCAGGCCGCAGTGTCTTCACTAGCAGTTGCCTGTTAACGGTTTCTAATAATGGTTAGTTTTCCGCTTCCGGGCTGAAGTCCCCTCTGAATGGTGGCTCTCTTCCAACTTCCTGCCTTCCTTACAAATGATTCGTGGTTATTTCATACCAAACTCCTGGTCTTCTCTTCACCGTCTGTTGCCCTGTTTCGCCAATAATTTCCATGGGAACTTGCCTGTCCACGAAGGCGTCAACCAGCAACAGCCGCGTATACTTGCTTATTAAAAATCTGTTGCCTAGCAGCGAATGTTGATTCGTTGTCTGATTCAAGGTCGCTACTCAGCAACGGCTCTACACACTACAGTACAATGAAGGAGAGCCCAGGAGGGACGTGGAAGGTAGCGCAGTCGTGTTACACAATACCGTATTACGCCGACAGTCTTTTGGTAGGACCAAGGATGAACAATATAACCTCTGTCAAGACAGTATATTTACTTATATATATATATATATATAAAATCAAAATATTATTTGCAAAATAATAAATACTTTATTACATAAATATAAGACTCTTTTATGGTACAAAAATGGCACCAATTTTTCGCAGTGCCTACTTAGTTTAATATTATAGAGGGTTATCTAATGATTTGCTTCAAATCTTTGATGTTTTGTTCGGTGGAGCATGTTATAGCATCTACATTCACAACAGTGTACATATTGTACTTAATCCCAGACAATTCTCCGCTAGAATTTTCACACCAGTCCTTCCCCCCACTTTGCAAAGTACTTGCAGAATTATTTGCTGCATATTACATACTGAGATCCCATATTGCAGTAACATGTAACAATCACTAGATAAGTAGAACTGCTTTACCACAAATAGACGTACATTGACAGCAGTCAACTAGGCATTTCTGTATTACCTCTGCAGGATACACACACACTCCGTGGCTTTCATTCCGCAAGCGAACTATACTGACGGAGCGACAGCCGCTTGTCGGCGAAGTTAGTGCCAAATTTTGCGGATAGAGGGTGTCGCGTGGTTAGGGCAACGATTTCCGACGGCCATTAATCTCTGTTTAGTAGACCGGAGCAACATATACAGATATGAAAAAAAGGGTAGGCAGTTGTTAATTGTATATTATCTTTCTTCAAAAACTGTGGGCCTAAAAACATAAAATAAATTAACAGCGTCTGGTACTACCACGAGCATTTAATCTGCCCGGCTTAATGGGACGAGCGCCTGACCCTCCCAGCTAGACCCGCGGTTGCAAAGAAAGGTCGTTGCGCATGTTAGGGCTCGAACCGTTATGCTTTCATTATTTGCAGGTGAAACGTGTAAAGTATTTTCAAAATTAATGTGTAATTTATATGCGTTTCTTAATCATTATCCAGTTTTTGCATTCTGTTGTGTATTGTTGATAAGCAGGTTCTGAAATAATCATCACTATAAACATTATCGGTATAAAATAGAATAAAAAATAATAAATTATTTACTTAAACCACTACGTGTTTATGCCTCTTTGGCCATCGTCAGGTGTTGTATACTGTACAAGAAACTCTGTTGTTGAATTAGTATCTTAACCGAAGAATTAGATTTACGAAGAATTGTAAAATAATTAATTTACATATACGAAGTACATGCTGTAGATAAATTGTAATTGTATACTAAATTGGTATGTTCTAATAGATAAGATGATTAAAGTAGAGAAGACTTACACATCAAAAATATGTAGGCCTTTACAATTTCATATGGAATTTCTATATGTACTAGTAAAACTGGTGGGTTCTGTTTCGGCTTGGATGTAGGTGTGTACCAGAGCCTCAGAACCGTGTAGTAATTCATAATTCAAATAAATAACTTATGAAAGTTGCCTTGTTCTGTCTTTTATTTGTGCTAATGTTTGATTTGATTCCTCCTTACTTTGTAATTGATCTTTGGGCTGTCCAGTAAGCACGTGAATAAATAAAGAATTAAATACACGTATAGGTATCACTTATCTGTTTTACCGATAATGGGTTTGTTGACGGTTATTTCAACAACCAGTTGTAAATGCTTCTTGGAGGAAGGGCTCTCGAAAGTTCTGCTAAGGTGTCTCTCATTGGAGAAGTCACGAAACAAGCCCAAGGAATGCTACAAGTAGCTCTGTAAATATCTTTGACAGCTTAGAAACATGCACTGCAATGTACTTCTTTTAGTACCACTGAATTAGTTCATCATATATTAAGTTTTTTTTTATTATTATTAAATTCGCTAGTGGGGGGTGGAGTCCATCTGGGTCTACTCGGCACTGCGGCCACTGATTGGCCTATTGTAGCCTGCTCTGGGTGATTATGATGATGGAGAATTTGGTGGAATGAAGACTGGCAGGGGAAACCGAAGTACTCGGAGAAAACCTGCCCCAGCGTCACTTTGTCCACCACAAATCCCACTTGACCAGACCCAGGATCGAACCCGGGCCGACGCGGTGGGAAGCCAGCGACTAACCGCTTGAGCTATGGCGCGGCCATATATTAAGTTACTGTCAATTTTTCATCTTCTATACATACAAAATGTATATCCCACAATTCAGTTCAGTTACAAATGGAGCTGAAGTAACAATGACATGAAAATCATTTGGAAACTTATTCAGCACTGTCAAAAATAATTGGTATGTGCTGACAGTGAGCATAAATGAGCATTTTTTTTTTGGTCAGCTAACTGGCATGTTTCTTATGGAGCTAATTTAATTTATAGCTAAAACATAATAATATATTTCCTATAGAAGCAATATCATTGGATCTTGGTAAAAAATGTCCTTGCTCATATGAAACTTTCATTTACTTTGATGAAAATTCTAGAAAAGTTAAAGCTCTTATTATACACCGTTACTCAAATAACAACTAGTAACTGGCTATCTCATACTTTTGAAGATATTATTTGCTGGCCATAAGAGCCCAAAGTCAGTGTTCGACGACTTTCATCTCATATCACAATCGTCTAATATAATATTTCGACATTCGCTCTTTGCTGTATTCAGCTATGTTTCAATGTCAAGTCTTTTGTATGCGTACAACACTCCCTTGCTACTATGCTCAACAGTTGTGAATAATTACGTTACTTTGATTTATGATATCGATGACTTGTTCGCTGAAAAGTTATGTAGTTTTCAGTTCTGAAAAGCACAGCAAGTCATAGAGACTGCACCGCAGTCTGCTAAGGCCATCGATCAACACTGAGGTGGGCAACTTTGAAAGCATCGCCCATAAACTTTTGCTCATCAAGGCTTTCGAAGTCCAGCTGTTAGCCATAAGTTCCTGATGAAACTAAGTGAACTGACACATATCTAAGGTACTCATAATCGCGGAAACAAACAACCACGGATACTCCTAATGACGATCAATGAGTGTCCTACAGATGAGTTGGAAGCTCCGTGGTGAAATGTTGACAAATATTCTAAGGTTACCAGCCATAGAATGACCATGTATTGAAGTCTTATGTCCGCGAATTCTGCAGACAGCTACCACAATGTTCACTGCCGATACGTTCTCTGGTATTCATGGTACACCATCGACTCTCTTCCTGAGAATTCACACCGCAATGGAAAACCTGAAGACACATTAAGCTAATTAAGTCCCTGAGCTGATCAGCTGCTGAGAGCAGTTTTTTTATATTCTGGGATTGCTACGTGGGTTCAGTAGGCACACTTCTGGCTGTACTGTAAGGCGTGCCGATGTCATTGTGGATAGGCACAACATAAACTCCACACTTATGCTTATCGTCTCTGACACTCCCATAGAACAGAGTGTCATAGGATGGGGGCGCAAACAGATGATAGGGGGGCGGAGGCGTTTCATGCACCCACTGTGTCTCAGTTGGAAGAGGTTCAACAGGACTATCAGTGGACGTGTTTTGTGGCCTTCTCGACGCACATTTGCAGCAACAACACTCAAAGCAGCTGATGACCAGAAAGAAGGCCACGAAGCCACCGAATGAAGCCATATAAAATAACAGCGACCATGGGTCCACCTCTCGCTTGTTTCCTGAAAGAAAGAGAACCGAGGTTAAAGGCCAGTCCAAGATGTCACATGCTGGAAGGAGACGTCTAGAGAAAGAACCTTTCAATTGACTTCCTCCCGAAAGGAAGGCTATGATGTTATGTCCTCGTGCTATGTTGTTCATGTTCGAACGTAATAACCGTTAATTTATTTATCGTCAGCTATTTTCATACGGCATAATTATCGCATCTGCTGTGGCGAAAATGACACTAACAAAACTCACGTTAGTTTAATTTAGCTTTAGATTTAATAGTTAGAGATTATATTTGTTTTGGTTTCTGTTTTACTTGGGGCAATCCTATGTATCTTGCCGGTCACGGCAGCCGAGCGGTCTAAGGCATGCACTGTCTTCGCTCGCTCGGAAGCCGGGATCGTGGGTTAGAATCCCACTCAGGGCATGGATGTTTGTGTGCGTTTTTCTGTGTTTGTCTATAGGTAGAGGCCTTGCGACGAGCTGATCACTCGCCCAAGGAGTCCTACCGTATGTGTAAGATCTAGAAAAACAGAAGTGAACGGAGAAGTTCATGGAGGTAGGCCTAGGCCCACTGGGGCTCTAGTGCCAAGGGGAAAAAAAATCCTATTTATCTTGGCTGTTCAGGTGAATCAGTAATTCACGATCAGTTACTGTGGTTACTGAGCGTTGAATGAGTTATGTTAGGATAGTCATCAATGATGAACGTGTAGGAAATTATATTGTGAAATTTTAAAGCGAAGTCCCTACATATCGCGAAGGGGCTGAAAGAAATTACAAATATCTCAGAAAAAGAAAGCCGTCCATTGGCTCCGACTTAAGAACTAGCTCAACAAATTCCCGGATGAACTCAGCAAATCTAAAAATAAAGCTTTCAGAGCAGCCGATCTGGATTCGAGACATTGTGAACACGGAAGAGGCCTGACAGAAAATAAGACGATACAAATATCAAATCGGACCGGTTTTCTTCCGTCCGTTTCCGTAACTTAATAAAGTCTACAATTCAAGCCTTCGCTGAGCACTGTATTATGAAGCTGCACTGTGCATTCTTTGTACGAAATATATATTGTGGCATGTAGACCAGTTACTAGGCAACGACAGCGAACCAAACAACTATACAACAGCCGTTACGAGGTAAAGACCCGTAAACTGCAACAGGGTAGCGGCGTTTTCTGTGTGGTTCGTGCCGAGATGTTATAAGCAGGACAGGTAGTCAGTAGAGTTGAGCCAGCAAGTCCAGTTGAGTTGGGTTTTGAGTGACTGAGTTAGTTAGATAACTGCTGTGGTTCAGTCACTGTGAGCTGTTGATGTGAGAAGCTGCTAGCTGAGGCTGGGGAGAGTTCGGGAACCCAAAGGAAGGGGAACGTCCTCCGTTGGAGGCCGCTACCATGCAACGGCTAGTGATGACCTGCACCCACTGTATCAGTGTCCAATAAATTTGATCATCAATCCAAAACCCGTCTATAATCACTCACACACGTGACATATATAATGAACAAATCAACATGTCCTGTCTGTAAATCCATCCGTCCGTATGTTTCATGTGTAAGTCACTCAGAGGGTTGCAATGGCCTACAATATGTCAAGCAAATAATCAAGCCTGCCAGTTGAACATAAGCTGTATTGTACAAGAAGCTGAATTCGAATCCTACCAGCTTCTTGAAAAACAGTCAACTTACAGAAAGAGATTTAAAGGAGATAAAGGTAGAAAAAGGTAAGGTAGAATTATCTCTGTGCTTAAATAATTAACCACCACGCTGTGAAACCTTATAGCCGAGTGGAGGTATTCTTGACCTCGGCACTAGGTGAAGGTGAGTGGTCAGATTCAAGCCTCGACCGCTTTATCCCCATGGAAAGAAGTCCCGACATCCATTGAATAGAAGGCTTGGTGGTCCCGGAGCCGGTTTGGACGCTGTAGAGAAGAGAAAAATATTGCTCCTGCCGGGAATCGAATTCCGGTAGTGTCTCAGATTATACGGCACACATACAGAAAACGCATTTTTACGCAAAGACACAAAAGGGGGGGGCTGCTTTTTGCTCTTCAGCGCGAAGGTGTTTCTTCAACTGAAGGTTAGCCAGATCAGTAGTGACGTAACACATATTATTACAGATCAGGTTTTCGCCAGTGTCCTCTCTTCTCCGCTCAATCGCATTGGAAAATTACTGTCGTTTAAAAAAGTATTTGACCTATGTTTCCTTTGCACAAAGGGCACAAAATGAAGGCACGAATTAGTGTTTCATGTCTGATGCCACTCTAGGTACATTTCAACGAATTTGATACTGATGTGTGCACTAAAACTTCTCAGACGAGTTTAATTTCGACCCGTGTAAGTTCATTGTACGAGTACGTAAGTGTCTGAATACTGTTTTGATTCTTATCTTTCCTTGTGCGACTCAATCAAAGTCCGCCAGGTTTCGATGATCCTCCTTTCTGATTTATTTCACAACATGTTTCGGCTTAACTGGCAATCATCAGGTGTGCAGGGTGTTTCCTTCTGATGTATTAGACGCTTCTAGATGTTTCAGTCAGGTTATGTTACGCCATGCCTTTGTGTCTAACCACGTGTTTGGTATTCAGGTTATGTTACGCCATGCCCTTGTGTCTAACCACGTGTCTGGTATTCAAGTTATGTTACGCCATGCCCTTGTGTCTAACCACGTGTTTGGTATTCAGATTATGTTACGCCATGCCTTTGTGTCTAACCGCGTTTGGTTTTCTGATTATGTTACGCCATGCCTGTGTGTCTAACCACGTGTTTGGTATTCAGGTTATGTTACGCCATGTCTGTGTGTCTAACCACGTGTTTGGTATTCAGGTTATGTTACGCCATGCCCTTGTGTCTAACCGCGTGTTTGGTTTTCAGATTATGTTACGCCATGCCTGTGTGTCTAACCACGTGTTTGGTATTCAGGTTATGTTACGCCATGCCCTTGTGTCTAACCGCGTGTTTGGTTTTCAGATTATGTTACGCCATGCCTGTGTGTCTAACCACGTGTTTGGTATTCAGGTTATGTTACGCCATGCCTTGGTGTCTAACCGCGTGTTTGGTTTATCTGTGATATGCACCAGGTTATGTTACGGCACAGAAAACAACGCGCCCAACAATTCTTTTATTGTTGCATGTGTATTGGTTCCCACGGTAACGTTTTTATCCAGCCGTTATCTAGCAACGATAGCAACATACAGATAAACAGACTGATGGGAGGGATTTATGAAGTACGCCATTGAGGTGGGCTCAGGTGCCATGATTGCATGCCAAGTTTCATAAAGATTGGTTCAGGCACTCAAAAGTTGATGGGGGGGGGGGACATAGACACACAGAGAGCATGGTGGTTTCAAAAGCCTGCTTCTTTCTTCAGAATAAAGCAAACAAGCTACAAATGTGTTTATTCACGATGCTTCCTTGAACTGAGACTACATGACGTAAAATGACTAGATGATGGTGAAAAATGAATTGGAAATGATGTGGAAGTAAGCGAACGTGGCCGAATTTAAGGTACTATCGTGTCATGTGCTTGGAATGACTGAGTAAAATCATGAACCTCAATCAGGTTAGTTGGTGTCACGGTGGAAATTCTAAAGCAGCACACCCGGAATACAAGCGAGAGTCTTCACCGTATGGACCAACTTGCTCGACGCGAAATGAGATGAACCAGTTCTGTAATACCTGATTAACTGAATAACTGTACCACAGAGATTATCATGGTTTTCTCCAGCAAACAGTTGCCATAGCGTTTTACGCAGGTCAACTACATCCTCCCTACTGCAACATTTTATTTGGCTCTCCGTAAAGCGTAAGAAAGTGACAAATGGACCACGAAGATAGAATAAAATAAAATCGAAAAAGAGTAAAGGAAGAGGAAAGAAAAAAGAGTTGAGGATGGGTAGAACGGTAAGAAGCAACCAATGCAAGTAACAGAAAATCTCCATCAATTTTATTAAAATTACACAAATATTTATTAAGAATTTTTGCAGTACGGTTTAGTATTCACAAATTACTAAGTGTGATATAAAAGAGAGCATCTCATCCTGTGGCAGTAATAGGAACCAGAAACTGAGAGTCCTCAAAAACAAGAGCATGATTTTATATATCGGTTCAGCTAGTCGCAAGAAATACATTAAGCGGAACAAAATAAACAGAGGTTATCATTAATTACAATTTTAACTTAAGAAACTTAAGCTTGTTTTTGTAGACTTTGTTCTAACCTTGTTTTGATGCGAGGATGTCCGACGCCACATAACGACACACTAATCTGAAACTTACACACCAGAATGCCAAACAACTATAAGAAAATTAGTGAGAGACAACAGTGCTATCTAATAGAGAATCCTGAAATCTTTTTACGGAAACTGATAAGCCTGTGTGAAAACATGTAACTTTTGTTAAAACAAAACATTTATGGAACTTAAAGACAGGACGATGATGTTGCTAACTAGAAAAACAGCGCATGTGTGACCTATGAAGAACGAAAGGCAACGAGGTTTTGTACTGGCAAAAATGAGTCACATAAACTGATCATTAAACTGTAGGCCTACTTAATTTATAGCGCGTGTTAGCCTTGCGAGCAGTGGGTCTGGAGCTGGGCCCACCAAGCCTCGTGACGTTAAATGAGGAGCTGTAGCCGCGCCATAGCTCAAGCGGTTAGTCACTTGCTTCCCACCGCGGCGGCCCGGATTCGAGCCCGGGGTCTGGTCAAGTGGGATTTGTGGTGGACAAAGTGGCGCTGGGGCAGGTTTTCTCCGAGTTCTTCGGTTTCCCCTGCCAATCTTCATTCCACCAAATTCTCCATCATCATAATCACCAGAGGCAGATACAATAGGCCCATCCGTGACCGACGTGCCGAGTGGACCCAGCTGGACTCCACCCCCGACTATGCGAATTAAAAAAAATGATGAGCTATTTCAAGGAAATAGCGGCTCCGGTCTAGAAAACCGAGATTAACGTCCGTGGGAATTTGTTGCGCTGACCACGTGACGCCCTCTATCCGGAAATCTGGCACCAAATTCGCCGAC